CGGGAGGGGCCGGTGGGTGGGGACCCTGCCCGGGGCTGACGGCGATGTGGTCTGTCTTTCAGGACATCGATTTGATTGACATCCTGTGGAGACAGGATATTGATCTCGGCGCTGGGCGAGAGATTTTTGACTACAGCCACCGTCAGAAAGAGAGCGAAGTGGACAAAGAGCTGAGCGATGGGAGGGAGCGCGGGGACAGCTGGAGGAGCGGAGGGAATGAGATCTTGGATAGAAACCTACTAGTTGATGGAGAGACCGGGGAGAGTTTCCCTGCGCAGGTAACAGCCCTGGGCCGGCCGGGCTGGGGTCCACGGCCGCGGTGATGCAGCGCGCCGGGGGTCCGCGCTCCCGCCAAGGCGGAGGGGAGGCGAGGGGCCCTCTGGCCAACTGTCGGGGTGAGCGGCGCCGCCGCCTGTGACTTTCACCGGGGATCTGCTGAGCCGCTGGAGAAGGGTTTGCCCAGGCGGACAAGAGGATTTGATGCCGGGGAAGCAAGGGCTGCCTGCCGGGCCGGGGAGCCGCAGTGAGGCGGGCAGGGTAATGGCCATGTCACCGTTGGCAGGACGCTAGGACGAGGGCGGCCGGTTCTCGCTGTGTCTCTGGGTTGTCTGGCAGAGGCGGTGGCGCGGGTAGGCGCAGAGTCCCCTCCAGCCTGTCGCCGAGTCCTTGCGCCGGCGGTAGGTGAGGCTCGCCGGGAGCAGAGGCAGCACATTTCCTTTCCCCGCTGCGCTCGGGGGCCGCTCCGACACTCTCTGGAGCGGGAGGATGGAGCCGGCGAAGCACTGGGTGGGGCCTCTGGCTCTTTTTGGATGCGCTGTAATAAAGCCGTGCTGTAAGGAGCTCGTTTCTCATCACCACCTCCCTAATCCCGCGGCTACGATTCCTTGTGTTTCACATCAGGTGCCCGGTGCGGAGGATCAGACAGCCCTGTCCCTGGAGGAGTGCCTTAGGCTGCTGGAGGCCACCTTCCCTTTCGGGGAGAATTCGGAGGTGAGCGGATGGGGCGACGGCTTCCGCCCCTCGGCGGATCGGGAGGCAGCGGCGGCTCTCCTTCCCTCGCTCGCCGGGGTTTCGGTGCCGCTGGTACCCCTAACCCAGACCGCAGAACCGGCAGTAAATTGGGTTAGCCGGCTTAAGGAGGCTCCAGGCATCGTGCCTGCGAAAGTAGCAGTGGGGGGGGTGGTGGTCACAATTAATTAAAGACTTCTGGCTTTGCTTCTAATTAGTTCATAGTGAACTGTGGAGGAATAACTGCAACCAGTTTGCTTTGAACAAAGGAGAAGCGATTGCCCGCGTGGAGGTGGAAGGGCATTCGGGATTGCTGGCTCCCTGGCCGCGGCTGATCAGCCGGGGACTGACTCTGCCTCACGTGGTTAGTTTCCAGCTGCGGATGTCTCCACCCTGAGCGAAGCCGTGCCCGGCGAGAGCAGGTCTGCGGGCATCCAGACCAGCCTGCTGTCTCCTCTCCTCACAGAGACCGAGTCGCCCTTCGATCTGGAGCAGCAGTGGCAGGGCCTCATGTCTATCATGGAAATGCAGGTGAGCTCGATGGCAGGTTGTGGGAAAGCGTTTGCCCCTCCGTGTTGC